TACAAGAAAATAATGATCTCAAAGCACATATTGCTCTTCTTTAGAATCAAATAGGGCAACTCTAAGAACAAAATGTGACCGCAACATTCCAATTCAACCCGACATGTAGGCAAATTCTGATTCTGAGGGACCGAAACATTTCTATTTTGTAAAAACTAGACATTTTTATTCTGTAATAACTAATAACTTACCTGCTACAAGGTTAACTATCTATCTTTTGGACTAGAGGACAAACTTTTTAGTAATGCTTGCTAGTGTTTTATTTGCTAGTATTTTAATCTTTAGCCGCCTTAAACTGGCTAAGTGGGTAAACACATTAAACAGGTTAAGCGGGTAAACATATTAAACAGGTCGTGTTTGTTGTGTCTAACATGACTCGTTTATTAAATAGATTACACGTGTCGTGTCGTGTCTTCATGTCATGTTTGGGTTAACATGTTTAGTGTTATATTTGTAGGTCGACTATTATGACATGCGACTACCCCTAATGCCTTTCAATGCATATAGGTTTTGTGCATCTTGACATGACAACAATACCAATTAGAAAAATGCTCTTGGCTCGTAAAGTAGCATCAAGAAACAATAAATAGCTGGGATTATCTGGGGACGTTTTGGCAAATAATTGGTTCTGTATAAAGCAAATCAAATTTGGAAAAGTTGATATCCAACTCCAGAAAAGGGAACCGGAAAGCTTGTTATTACCTTGTCTTTTACTGATTTCTAGAAGATTGGAGTCATTTCATCCCCTGCATCATAAATTAAGAACAGTAAGAAAGAGTGAATTTTGATTTCATAGAAAACTCATCAGTGAAAATTGTGTAGTTCAATTTCAATAAATACATCAAATCTCATTCAATGACTAAATTTACGACATAAAATTCAAAAAGTTCCTATGCATTTTTGCAGCTCCCTGCTTTTACCACTCTCAAAGCTGATAAAAAATAATTCCTTTGGTCTCTTTATTTCTCTTCAACCAATATCGAGACCATACCAATGTGTTCATCTCCATTCTTTATTTCTCTTCAACCAATATCGAGTCTATACCAATGTGTTCATCTCCATTAATGAATACAACCAATTGTCCAAATATCATCAATTAACACACAAATTTTTTGACGAATATTCGTGATTTATTCTTATAAGGTCGTGAATTTTAATTCGAAAGTTAAATATATTTGCAACTGTAGATAATATAAGTTAACTCAATCAACCAAAAAATCTCGTAAAATTAATTCATTTTTATAAATAGTCGACTAAGCTATTTTTTCAATTCATTGTAAGTTTCAACAATATAAAACATATGATTTATTTTCATAATTAAAGTTCTAAAAGAAAAAATATATATATATACCTATAATTAAAGGAGTTTTTAAAAGTTTGATAAAATCATATTTAACAGAATTATGTCAAAAGAAAAATTAAATGAATTGACGATATTATATATTAAAAAAGATACTTTAACAAAATGTGAATATAATAATCTAATTAGTAACATGAGTGTGTTTTTTAAATAAATACTATTAAATATTTTTTATATTAATTTATTATACATTAAAAGGTCAATTTTTTTTTTCCGCCTAAAACTTCAAATTACAACATGGAAACCATGCTTATACAGTAAAACGGCAGCGTTTTTTATTTCTGTTTTTATTTTTTTTTCTGGTTCAATGAATACAGAGGGGCACGGTTAAAAGCGTTGAAATGAATGCTGATTTTTTTTATTATTTTGGGACACTACTTAGAGGATTTTTTGTTATTATTATTTTTATTTTGAAAAACTACTTAAAATAAAAAAAATTAATTTCAAGAAAAGGTAGCACGGTTTTCAAAAAGAAAAGATAAAAAGCTGTTCTCATTCATTAACATGTCAGTTTATTGTGATTAAACCATACATCAGAGCATCGGTGGGGTGGGTCCCAATTGCCATAAGGGCTAATTATTACTCTTAAAACTCCTCCGTCCATCCCAATTTAACTCGCAAGAATTAAATGGTTATTCATATGTAATTTATGTATGGGACACAATTGAGCGAGTCTGTCTGTACGGTTACGTGTTCAAGCAATTTTTCATGACATAGTGAGTGGGTTTCATGATCTCTTCTTGATTTATTACAGTGAAATTTCATCTTTTTCTGTCGGTAGCCAAAGTTTTTTGTACCATGTAAAATGTTAAGTGTTGCATGTCACTATTTCTGAAAAATGTTTTTAATGAGAAATCATGTCAATTCAATTTATGAGAGTCATAATTTTTTAAAAGTGACACTTTTTATAAGATGGAGGAAGTATTATGTAGCATAGATTACAGAAATTTTTTTAAACTGTTAGAAAAAAATTAGGGCATGTTTGACACGTTTTTTGTTTTTAGGGAATTAATTTTTTCGGGTATTGTAACCCTGAAAACGCGTTTGGTTAAAAATATTTTTTTTTGTATGATAATAAAACGTTTCGTGAATAGAAGTCAAAATATCATCGATACTTTTACATATTTCTGCACCGTAAAAAAATGTTTGAAATGACCTTTTTGATTTAGCTATTATATTTTTAAAATTTACAACACTCTTTTATCATTTTTTTTATTTTTTTATTTATTTATTTATTTTTTTTTTTATTACGTTTACAACAAATAGATATTACCAACCCAATTACCATTCAAAATACCTTATAATGAAATATTTACTTTGTTTTTTATTAAAAAAAAAAATGCAAAAGACAACATTTTTCCTTGACTTTTTTTTTTTTTTTATCCTTTCCTTACAAACGCGTTCATTAAGCTATGTTTGGTACGGTGGGAAAGAAAAGAAAAGAAATGATAATATTAATTAGGGTGAACTACATTAAACCCATTTTTTTAACTGTGTTTTTCACTAAACCCACCTTTTCTATTTTTTCGTCAAAAAAACCCCCCCTCGACTATTAGAGGGGGTGATTTAACTAACCTCCGTTAATAAACTATTAGAGGTGTGTGGTTTAATTCTCAAATATATATATATATATATAGCAAATAAATTTAAAGAAAAAAAACTTAGATTTATATTGGCAAAAAAAAAATTAGGCATTATTTCTGGTAGTGTTCCTTTAATAAATCTATATAAAATGAAAATCAATAAAAACCAAATAAATGAATGCACAATATAATTCTCAAATATATATATATATATATATATATATAGCAAATAAATTTCAAGAAAAAAAAACTTAGATTTATATTGGAAAAAAATCATTGCAACAACATGCATTCTTATTCTTGTTCAACTTCTTTTATTTACCCATCATTATAGTATTATATATAATTTGTATCATAATATAATGGTATATATAATATACATCATTAAATATTATTTAAATATATTTTCATTTTCATCTAGCCTTCGTACCAATACAAATCTAGGGTTTTTTTTTTTTTTTTTCATCTAGCCTTCATATATATAGGCTTCATATATATAGCCTTCATATCTAGCCTTCATATATATATCTAGGTTTTTTTTTTATTTCATATATATATAGCCTTCATATCTAGCCTTCATATATATAGGCTTTATTAATCTAGGTTTTTTTTTTGTTTTTTTTTTCTTGAAATTTATTTACTATATATATATATATATATATATATATATATATATATATATTTGAAAATTATATTGTGCATTCATTTATTTGGTTTTATTAATTTTCATTTTATATAGATTTATTAAAGGGACGCTACTAGAAATAATGCCTAATTCATACCAATATAATTCCCAAATATATATATAGCAAATAAATTTTAAGAAAAAAAAAAAAAAAAAAAAAAAAAAAAAAAAAAAACCTAGATTTATATTGGTATGAAGGCTAGATGGAAATGAAAATATATTTAAATAATATTTAATGATACAAATTATATATACCATTATATTATGATACAAATTATATATAATATTATAATGATGGGTAAATAAAAGAAGTTGAACAAGAAGAAGAGTACATGTTGTTGCAATGGTTTTTTTTTTCCAATATAAATCTAGGTTTTTGTTCTTGAAATTTATTTGCTATATATATATATTTGAGAATTATATTGTGCATTCATTTATTTAATTTTTATTGATTTTCATTTTATATAGATTTATTAAATGGGTACTACCAGAAATAATGCCTATTTTTTTTTTTTCTTGCCAATATAAATCTAGGTTTTTTTTTTCTTAAAATTTATTTGCTAGATATACATATACATATATATATATATATATATATATATATATATATATATATATATTTGAGAATTAAATCACCCCCTCTAATAATTAGTTAACGAAAGTTAGTTAAATCACCACCTCTAATAGTCGAGGGGGGTTTAATGTAGTTCACCCTATTAATTACGAATGAAAAGAAAGGAAATGGAATGATAAGATAATTTTAATCCCCTATCGTATTTGGTTAAATAATGAAAAAAATGAAAGAAATGGATAATAATCATGTTTAAGAAAAAAAAAAAAATTATTTTAATAAATTTACTATTATATAAAAGATAAATATATATTTGAGAATTAAATCACCCCCTCTAATAATTAGTTAACGGAAGTTAATTAAATCACCCCCTTTAATAGTTGAGGGGAGTTTAATATAGTTCACCCTATTAATTATGAATGAAAAGAAAGAAAAGTGAATGATAGGATAATTTTAATTTCTTATCATCTTTGGTTAATTAATGAAGAAAAAAAAAGAATGGATAATAATTATATTTGAGAAAAATATATATATATATATTTTAAATAAATTTACTATTATATAAAAGATAAATCTATTTTTCTTGAAGGTCTAATATTGTTTTTTTCTCTCACAATCCTTCAAATCCTGGATCCAAACACCCTTAATGTTCCCGGTACCTACGGCCTACTCTAGAGTCACTCTCAATCGCAACAAAATGCAGCAGATGTGAGTTGTAACAGTACTGCTTTATAAAGCAGACTAGCTGTAAAGTGCTGTATACGTACAGTCAAAGATTTGAAACCAATTTTGAAATCAGCAAAAGCTGAGACATTATTGCATGCGTCACAGATTCCCACGCTTATTTGTATTACAGCACTATTTTATCAATTAATTAGGGCAAATCATTTCAGCCTCCCCAATTGCCTATTTTTAGGGCAAAGCATTTCAGCCTCCCTAATCACCTCCATCTCTATTCTCGTTCTCAACTCTCTCTCTCTCTCTGCAACTGCAAACCACAAGATCTACATGAATCAAAAGTTCAAAACCCATATATTTCAGTTGATCTATCCGCAAGATTCAAAAGTTCAAAACCTATTACCTATATCAAAACATATATAGGCGTATCATTTCAGGTTGTTCAAAAAGTCAAAACCCTTATCTTTCAGTTTCCAACGCCCGCTATTCCAGTTCAGGTTCGACGTTCGCAAGCTTCAGCCGCTGTCTCTCAACCAATCAAGGTCTGTAATTCTTGTTTTACAAACTAAATCCTATTTTGTGAAATTTTTTATGATCTTTTTTATAGATTTTTTTTATTTTTTTATTTATTTATTTTTTTAATATAAAGTAACAAAATTTGCATTGCATTTTGAGGTAATCACGGTAATCTGTTATTTATTTATTTATTATTATTATTTTTTGATGTTGTCAACTATGTCTACAAGAAAATTTGAATCTGGGCATGAAAAAAGAAAAAAGAAAAAAAAGAATCTGAATTGGATTAGAAATCTTCAAAGATTGAATCTGAAACAATATATATCAACATGCCAAGTTTTTTGAAGATGGAAGTCTTTTCAGAACTAAAAAAAATAAAATCATAACAAGCACTTTGACAAGCAAAAGTACTTAATATAGGGTAAAGCTCTAAAGTTACTTCTTGAAAATTAAAATACTTACAAAATGCATGCTTTTGAGTGAATTCCATAGTGTTGGATGGGACTTGCCATGAACTACCTCACACTCTACTTCCACTAGTAGATTCTCAAATAGGATTTGTAAATTGGTCAAAAGAAGAGAAAGGGTACTGAGTGGTGAATTGTTTAGAAATAAATTGGTATTTTTTTTTTATTAATTACCCAAATAGGATTTTCTATGCCTTAATCAGTCAATTGTCTAAAGAAACATTGTTAGTTAACTAAAATTGAATTAAACAGCAGTTGATTTTGGTTGATATATTTTGATTTAGCCCACCCCATTGAGAAATCCTAGATGTATTGTTTCACATAGAAATACAATCTGTGTAATGCACGAAAGATATATTCAATCTTTCTGTCATATTTAAATTTTCAAATTTTGATTTTTGATTTTTGATTTTCTTTTATCATTAGAATGCAGAATATCATGATATTGATTTGTTAATTTTGAAAATTATTCCTAAACTGATGCTTTGTACTTTGTTATTGGATTAATTTAACATAAGAGCTGAGTATAATATGTGCTAATCACACCTATCCATAATCACACCTCTCTCTACGAATAGGTGTCCAACATTTTGACTGAAAGCATAGTTGGGCTGGGTTGATACATGATTACGTAGATGGTGGTGTTTAAATTGTTATGAGTGAGATTGTGAGATCTCTTCCTCATAACTTCAGTGTTTTCTTATTTTTAGGGTTAGCATCGGGCCTTAACATTTAGCACGAATAAGGTTCAAGAAACATGCCTCCTCAGTCAGCAGGTAACAAATTCTTACTTTTTCTAAAATTTTAATTGGCATTTTTAGCTATTGGTTAGGTTTATTTATTTATGTTTTACATACTATTTTTTGTTTTTGTTGTAAATACATATATATAATATTGTTATGATGTGATGCTCGAATAATTTATTAATGGGAATTAAAGACTTGGAAGTTTAGTTTTCAATTTTAGAATATATGTTTTACAAGTTTATTAACGCTTTAAAAACTTTTCCTTTTTTGTGCTTGATAATATAGGTCTCTTTTATGGAAGAAGAGAGTTGATTGGTATGGGAGGAATTGGAAAAAAGGAAATAGGTATGTTTTTCTTTGCCTAGCTAATTGAATTATATAAATCCCCTTACCCTGTGACATGTACCATCCGAGCACTCTTTCTTTCTTCAATTTTTGAACTAAACAGAAGAGTCATGATAGATATAGAGAGATCACTTGCTTTTCCCAACTTTGGATCTCTGTTGTTCTTGAATGAAGTGTTGTAACCTAAGCTAAAAGTTTTTGGTATTGGAGATAAGAATTACCATTATTTGTTTGTTTATATATATTATAAGGTTTTTGTGCATTCATTTGATTACTATTGTTTAATTATTTACATGTGTGTTTTTAAGTGTTTATATATAATCTTATCACCACCTGGATCTTATGTTCATAGTGTTTTTTGTGTTTATTCTTGTAGATATGGACAGGTGTCGGTCGTGTATTCATAACCGAACACGGTGTGATAGTTGTACTTCCTCCAGATTCAGACCCTGCTAACCATTTGAACGTATTAACCGTGTACGGCGAGGGACATTTTAGAATGTTGTTGGGTTTGACCGATGATGAAGCGAAAAGGCATTTGCTTCTTGCCTAATTCTTCAAGCCGCACTCATCGTTGCAGTAGCATTGTGGGGCTCATCGTTGCAGTACCATTGTGGGGAGCATAGGCGTTATAAGATAGCTGATTGATGAGAATTTGGCTACTATGGAGCAAATAGGTGTACGTAATCAACAAATTGCAATACTGTAAGAGGAAAGAGACTGACTCCTAGCAAACACAATTTCATTCTTGAGAATGAAATATGACAACTTCAGAATGAAAGACGGCAACTACGGGAAGAAAATGCAAACATTGTGCGTCTCAAGCAAATTATGAGGCGGTACAACGCTCCGATTCCCCGTGACGTGTAGGCAAATTCTGAGGTCCTTTTTAGCCATCACATTTGAGATTTTCTTATGAATGTCATTTAAAACATTGTTCTTACTTCAATGTTTTTAATATTATTATTTTTTTGTTCCAGTAATTTAATTTTTTACTGACTGTTTAGGTTTAAACTGGTTTTGGTTATGTTAACATAACCTCGTCAATTTAAGATGATGACCCAACATGAATTGGACTTGAGTTGAACTTGCTTGAACATCACATGTTGCTTGGATTCCTGCTTAAAGAATAATCATTTTTATTGTCTATTGTTTCACACGAGATATTCTTAATTAGTGATTTCATGATCACATTCAAAGAGGAAAATGGAAGTTCTGATACGATGTTACGTTGTGCAATGTATGCTTATGTGTTTATTCATGAGGAAATGCCTATTCATAGTTCTTTTTTAATGTAGATTTCTTAGTTTCACTTTATTTCCTTGAAGTTGTATTATATCAAAATATGGTCGTGTGATATTTTTATTTTATTTATTTATATATATATTTTGTTGGGGGTGTCGCGTGCAAAATACCTTCTTAGTTTCACTTTATTTCCTTGAAGTTGTATTATATCAAAATATGGTCATGTGATATTTTTATTTTATTTTATTTATTTATTTATATATTTTGTTGGGGGTGTCACGTGCAAAATACCTACTGTGTTGAATGATGCCTTGTAACCAGACGAGGCAAAGAATGTTGGTCCGGAGTGTGCAATGTTGAATGAAGTGTTGTAACCTAAGTTAAAGGTTTTTGGTTTATACATATTGGAGATAAGAATATTCTTGGTCCAGAGTGTGCGATGTTGATTGAAGTGTTGTAACCCAAGTTAAAGGTTTTTGGTTTATATATATTGGAGATAAGAATATTATTGTTTAATTATTTAATTGTGTGTTTTTAAGTGTGTGTATATAAACTTATTATGTTCATAGTGTTTTTTGTATGTGCACAACAAAACAGTGTGCACCAGTATGTGCGTAATGAGGAGATAATTTTCCTCTTGGTTCTAACCCTCTATACTTTATGTAAGTAAAGAATGTGTACAGAAGCACATTTTAAGACAATGGTGACTTCAGCCCCTGGAGTGATACATTTGCTCGCTGTTTAATTCTCCAATCTAGAATTATAACCCCAATACCATATTGGGGGAGCACAGACACCCCAATACCATATTGGGGGAGCATAGACCTTATAAGGGTCCTGATTGATTGTAATCATGTTCTTTTACAAGAAGTTCTTGCTATTGATCAACAAATTGATGTACTACATCAGCAGATAAAGGGACTCCAAGCAAACAATGATCATCTTCAAGGACAAAATCATAATTTGGGAGCAAACAATGCAAGTAGCACAATTACAGCAGAGAGTCACGTCATGTAATCATGTTCTTTTACAAGATGTACTGTATCAGCAGATAAAGGGACTACAGACAATGATCATCTTCAAGAATTAAATCATAATTTTGGGAGTACACAATGTAAATGTCCAAGCCCAAATAGCACAATTCCTGCAGAGAGAAGCACATCCGATTTATGAAAAGTGTAGGTAACCTATGTAAAACTTCAAACTTCTTATTGTCTATGTTTTTTGAAGGAAAAACAATATTATGTGTTTAAATCCGTAGATACAAAACAGTTTGAATTGCCTTAATTGTCTATTTTTTTTTTTGAAGGAAAATCAAAATTGAAAAGATGAGAATGCAATCTGTGTTCAAATCTATATAGAGCTATAATATAGATTGTAGATGCTTGTCATTTTTGTTTCATCTGTGCAGGATCATACTCGCTCAATCGCACACACACACTGACTAGAATCCTCTCTAGTAGAAGTTGCTTGCAAAATATTTCAGTGCAAACCATTTGCTTTGTTAGTGTTCTTTGTGTTTGTTTATGATAATAACATATTAAAAATTTCCTAAAATTGGTAGGTGAGAGTTTAAGAGTCCAAAGGAGCAAATGAGTACCCTCCCTCCATTATAAGGTTCCAAACATGGTGACCTTTTAGTGTTACTGCATCAGTTGCTCGATATTGATCACCAAAAGCATGTCTTCCTTCCAATGCATATAGGGTTTGTCCATCCTGACATGACAACAATAGCGATTAGAAATTTATGGCGACCTGACCCAAGGCAACAAAGACAGTCCCCTAGGGCCTCAAAATTTATGGCGCCATCAGACTTATAGGCCATAACAAAATTGTGGGGCCATACTAAAATTGTTCTCAATCCTTTTTTTTTTTTAAAGGTCATGGGCTTTACTTGAAACGTGATGCAGCTTAAATATTTTGACATTTTCAAAAGTTGATAATTTTTTTTTATTTATCATTGCTAAACATAAGCTGAACTTACAACAAGAAAACCAGGAAAACGACCCAACAAGAGACAACATTGGTGACCACACAAAACAAACCATGCATCACACTAGGAAGCGACACATGCCCCACCAACTGACACCAAACGTGGCCCATGCGAAGCGAAAAAAAGCAAGCTGCAGCAACAGCCACACACAAGCATAACTGGTTGGGATTGACGTGGCATGAATTCAGCGCTACAACCAGCAAACCCAACACCGGCCGGTGACCTCGCCGGAATCAGAAGCAGAAAGTGCAGCCAAAGGGGCAGCAAAACTGCAGCAAGACGAGCAAATCCAGGGACACAAACGGGGGAAATCTTGAGTCTTCAAATTTTCATTGATCTATGCTGTGCATTGTCGTCGATCGTGACTGCTCAAGCTCAGCTCTTAGATCACGGGAGTCCATATGATCTAGGTCATGGTACCAAAAAAAAATCAGCCTATATGCATGAGATACACATTCTGTGGTATTCTGTGGTTGAGACACTCTTGTGTCAAGAGTTGAGATGGGTCAATGCCTCTGACAGCTTTATATAAAGCTGAAGGTAATGGTAAAGTTTCGTTGATACTTGATGGTAGAGACACTTGACTTGACAGCTCAGTTTTTTAATGAATTTTTAATTTTTATTGCTTTTGGCCAATTTAAAGTGGTCAATGGTATATAAAGCTGATAGCAATGGGGTAAAGCTGGTACAACTCAATTTTTTTACTTATTTAAAATAATTTTAAAAAAATCAAATTGAGAAAATAGCTCTATATGTTTTTTCTTTTTAATTGCTTTTGGCCAATCACAAGTAATATTGCAAACTTGCATGTTGAATCAATATTTGGGGAGTATATTTGGAGAGATTGCCTTAAAATAAATTGATTAATTCATAATATATGAGGAATGCTAAATATATATATTTCTTTTGCCTTTCAAATTGGTACCTTGTGTATCATTGTTGATTAATTTAGTTAAAAATATATTTAAAAGTACGTTTAAAAATTATTATAAATAGACCATAAATTACATTTACAAGTTACTAAAATTTTATTTTTAATTCGATTATATTATTCTCTTATAGTACGTGTATCGACCTCATAACACACAAATTATTTAAGTTAGGAATGCGGTTCGAAAGTAAGACATTAAAAACTTATCCCTGAATTCCTGACAATGTCGTTATATCCCTGAAAATTTTGATTATATTCTTGAAAAGTGTGTATTATTGCATTTTGAATCATGTGTGCAAGATTGAAAAAAATTCACAAATATAATAACTGATGCTTCCGTGGATACATTTCGGATACATTCCGATACCGTTAACATTTTGATTTTTAATAAATTTGAATTTTAGAGTAGCATGAGTCACTAATTTTCACATTTTTTTCCTCTCTTTTACATCAGCTTTTTTCCTCTCTTTTATCTATGCAAATATCAACAACTTTATGTATCTTTCAAAAGTGATACATCATTATCTCTCCAGCATTAAATTTGATTTTAAAAAATCTAAAGAGAGCTGGTGGGGTATTTTATAATACATTAATTTTAGGTCAGCCAAAAAAATAATAATAATAATAAAAAATAATAAAATTATTAAGAGAATTAGCCAACTTAATCAAGCCCAAGTCAAGTGTCATATTAAAATAAAAGGCTCAAGCCAAATATACTCAGGGCTGGTCCTAACCCAAGGCAACAAACCGGTCGCCTAGGGCCTCAAAATTTACACCTATGAATGATAAGTAGCTAGAGAAGTGAGAATAAGGTACTGTCAAGCACAACAATCTAACCACTATAATATTATTCTTTACCTGGCAATCTATTGTAATTTATTGCTAAGTAAAAAGCATTATAAGGAAATAACAAATCTTACTCAATCATAGTTTTAACTTTGCAAAAACACCATAATGGCATATAAACATGGTAACATTTTGGACCAATAAGAATTGAACATTCAAGTCTCACGATCCGACTAATAATCCCAGAGTCAATCCTAGCCGTCCACACCAGTTAAGAAAACACAACCAAATAGATTTTTAACCGTTCGATACTATTCTTGAAAAGCACACGGATAACCCCCCTCCCCCTCCACATTCACCTCCATCTCTATACTCGTTCTCAACTCTGAACTTGCCCTCTCTCTCTCTCTGCAACTGCAAACTACAAAATCTACAAGAATCAGAAGTTCAAAACCCATATATTTCAGTTTATCTATCTGTCTGCAAGAATTAAAACCTATATCAAAACCCATATCGGCATATCATTTCAGATTTTTCAAAAAATTCAAACCCATATCTTTCAATTTTCATCGCCCGCTGTTCCAGTTCGGGTTCGCCGTTCGCAAGCTTCAACCGCTGTCTCTCAACTCTCAAGCTTGCCCTCCTCCTCTCTCTCTCTGCAACTGCTAACTTGTACGTATGGGTTTTGTTATTTTTTTTTATTATTTCTATAAATTCTATTTCTGGTGGTGTTTTTTTTTTTTTTTATTTCTGGAAATCTTTTCAGAACTAAAAAAAATAATCTTAACAAGAACTTTGACAAGCAAAAGTACACTTAATATAGGGTAAAGCTCTAAAGTTACTCCTTCAAATTTAAAATACTTACAAAAAGGATGCTTTTGAGTGAATTCCAGTGTAGTCAATTGTCTAAAGAAACATTTTTAGTTAACTAAAATTCAATTATGTCTAGAAGAAAATTTGAATCTGGGCATGAAAAAATAAAAAAAAAAATCTGAATTGGATTAGAAATCTGCAGAAATTGAATCTGA